GGTACTGAAGCTTCTGCTTTTGTAGTTGTATTTTTTGAGATGTTTTTTTGTCTACCGTTCTCACTCTTTGAAGTTAATTATGTTTTGTTGCTGATGAGATGAAGAGAAATAATATGATATCTTTTTTATTTTATCAATTGGTTAATATTTGAGAAGACATAAACCTTCAATTATCCGAGCCTTGGTTATTTACTTAGCTTATGCAGTTATATTTTGTGAAATTTCGTAAAACCTTTGATATCCTTTTCTTTATTATGCATTATCCGTGCATCAAATGAATTTTTGGTGAAATGTTTCTGATATTGTCTTTTACATTCTGGTCAATTTGTAAAAATACCTCAGCGATATGTAGCTCTGAAGGTTCAAAAGAGTGCTCAGCATTACACTGAAGCGGCTATGGATGAGATAACTATCTTACAACAGATTGCAGAAGGAGACCAAGATGACAATAAATGTGTAGTAAAGCTTTTGGATCATTTTAAGCATTCGGGCCCAAATGGGCAACATGTTTGTATGGTTTTTGAGTACTTAGGGGATAATCTTTTGACCCTTATTAAGTATACTGATTATCGCGGAGTCCCTATTCCTATGGTTAAGGAGATCTGTTTCCATGTTTTAGTGGGTTTAGATTACTTGCACAGACAGCTTTCTATTATTCACACTGATCTGAAACCAGAGAATATATTGCTCTTGTCCATGATAGACCCCTCTAAGGATCCCAGAAAATCAGGCGCTTCTCTCATTCTTCCCAATAAAGATAAGACTCTGTTGGAGACTGCGATTGGGAAGTCAAATGGAGGTTTGACCAGAAATCAGAAGAAAAAGATAAGAAGGAAGGCTAAACAAGTAGCTTTGGGTTGTGTGGAGAAGGATGTTGCTCTTGATGGTGATGCAGATCCAGAAACATCTGATGCAGTGGAGTCATCTCCTAATGCAAAATCAAGTGTGGATTCAGTGGGAGACCAGCCGACTAGTTCTGTCAGTGGAAGTAGAGCATCAGATGCTGATGCAGCAAAGGGTACTGTATCTGGGAAGCTAGGTAATAAGAGGGGGAGCCGTTCTACAAGGAAAAAGTTGCTGCAATCAGTAGACTTGAAGTGCAAATTAGTGGACTTTGGGAATGCTTGTTGGACATACAAACAGTTTACAAATGATATTCAAACAAGACAGTATAGGTGCCCGGAGGTGATCTTAGGTTCTAAATATTCTACATCAGCAGATCTTTGGTCCTTTGCTTGCATTTGTTTTGAGCTTGCAACTGGTGACATACTCTTTGATCCCCACAGCGGTGACAACTTTGACAGGGATGAGGTATGGTTGTCAATATTAAAAGCTATCAGGGTTTATTGTTATGCCATGTGCACTTGATATGATACATGTTTTCATTTCTTCCCCACCCCTGGTGAAAGTTCATATTTGCCCCCCTTTCTGTCAATGCACCATCTTTTTTCTTGGAGATGCGGTCTTGTGCCCTTGGATGTGTCTCACACAATACTCGCTGCTCAGATAATCAAACATAGCGGTTGTCCATGATGTGCTAATATATGTGGAAGCTATAGTTGTACATGTTTATTATATGATGCTGTACTGTTGATAACCTAATGTCAAAGTGAGCTTTGAAATAATGATGTTATCATTGATATAAATGAATTTGGAGAACAACTGAATACTTCATGAGGCTTAAATCTAAAGCTATACCTTGAAACTTGATGCAACTTGAATTCGCAGTATTAGAATTAAGCTGCTGCAGTGCTTGTTGTTGGCTTCGTAGCTCAAAACACTCATGCTAGAGGAGAATGAATTTGATTTATTTGGTTTTAAGAGTTCTTACAATTTGTACTATCGAGGTATGCAATGCATAATTTAAAAAAATGCACAATTTTTTTTTGCTGGGGGAGTATTAATTGTCCCCTGAATTTTCAAATAGAGGTTGTCTTAACGTGTGCCCTAAAACCATAAAATAAAAAACTTAGCATAGCAATGTATTAAAAATTGTGTTATTTTGTTTTTTGTACGTGAAGTGCATTGAAATAAACAATTGTTTTGTTTTTTTAGTAGTTTTTAAGGTGTGACTTCAAAAAGAGTCTTTTTCCACATTGAACCTAGGTGCAAATTTAGATCAAATGCAACGTTTTCTGACTCTTGTCTGATTTCTAGGCTGAAATACAATATATGTGGAAGAAGGGAGGAAGAATAGGTTGGGTAGGTTTGATGAACTCATGGAAGGGCCTGAAATTGTATATGTACTTATTATATGTACAAATAACGTATGCACAGAGATCTGTTGTTAAGAGGATGATACATGAACTTAAAGGTGGCAGTGGGCCGTGCCGTGCCAAAATTTTCAAGGCCTACCATGTCATTGGCCGTGTCGTGTCGACAATCAAAACTCAAGGCCCATGGCACAGCCCATGGTCCGGTGGGCCTTGTCATGCCGTACTTTTGTGGGCTGTGCCGTGCTGGCCCATGTGCCAAATCTTGAGCCCACGACATGGCCCACGGGCTGTGGCACAGCACGAAATTTTCGTGTTGTACCATGGTGGGCCATGCCGGCACAGCCCATTGCCACCTCTACATGAACTCCTCTATATCCTTCAATGATTATCCTTAAATTATCTTGTACATTTTCTGGAATTCCAATGCAAATTTCAAAAGCAAGTTGGTGCACCATCTTTGTGTGATTATGGTTTCAGTTGTGCTGAAAATGAGAGCTGAGCATATTGTTGATCTCTTCATCTTTTGGGGTAAGGTTGATGATCTGTCAGCAGTTTTCATTTTGCCGTTTAGAAGATGAGATATGATTATTAATGTTGCTTGGTTCAATTATATGATGCAATGACAATCTTATATGCGTCTTGTGGTCTATGAAATTTGCTAGCTGTTTGGGACTCTGAAGCAAACTCAGGAGCAGTATGCCAAAAGAAGAAAAATAATTTGGAAAGATGAGATTTGCATGATGAGGAAAAACGTGGTGGCTTCAAAACTGATAATAGTTTTCCATGAATGTCTCTAATTTTCTTTAAGCCAGAGATGGTGCATCATTTATTGTAAGCTGCCCTTCATTTTCTCTGGACAGCACTGCCCTGTGGAAGTGAGAAGGTTTGAGATTTGAGATCAGTCACTGATGTCAGAAAAGCTAAAGGGATAGTAATGTAATCACCTTTCATTTTGGGTGACTAGAACTATGTAATGCCTGTTTTTTTATATGTATATTTTTCTTTTGTGTTGGCTACCATAAAAAAAAATTCTGGAGGAATGTTACATGTGCTTTTTGCTCTATGTAAAATTTCTTTTTTTGTGTTATGCAAAAGGATTTGTCTGTGAACCCTGTAGCATATAGAGTCGGAAAAAATCAGTGTTCTCTGGGTTAGTTAGGATGCTTGTGAATAGCTGGCTACAAGTGCTTTTTGAAATAGGTTTCAATCATGTTTGACAACATTTTACTGTTTTTGGCTATATTCAGGATCACTTGGCACTGATGATGGAGCTTCTCGGAATGATGCCTCGCAAGGTGAGAAAATTTATATTGCCACCATGTAAGTTGATACTTCATATCATGAGAAACTTGCCTAATGTTGAGCTATTCCAGATTGCTTTAGGTGGCCGGTATTCTCGGGACTTTTTTAATAGATATGGTGATCTTAGGCACATTCGTCGGTTGCGTTTCTGGCCTCTGAATAAGGTTCTTATGGAGAAATATGAATTCAGTGAGCAAGATGCAAATAACATGACTGACTTCTTGGTTCCCATCCTTGATTTTGTTCCTGAGAAGCGGCCCACTGCAGCTCAGTGCCTTCTTCATCAATGGATCAATGCAGGCCCTCGTGGCTTAGAACCATCTATGCCTTCTACTCAAACTCAAGGTTCAGACCATCTCAATTCTGAGAAAAAAGAAAGAGATAAGGATGAGAGAGAGGAAATGGAAGCCGGAATGAGTAATATTGCTATCAGTGTGGATTTTAAATCAGGCAAAGATACCCAGTCTAGCAGTAAAGCCACAAAGGTTTTCGCAAGTAATGCCTGAGGCAGGACTCCGCCACATTTGCTCTGCTTGCATTGCAGGAGTGTGATTCATTCCCCTCATGGTCGGATTTTCCATGCTTGTTCTGCAGTTGGTTGTGGAAGGGATACCATTTTATTCGAATCCATGTGAGAGCTCAAGTACAGCAATAGCTTAAGCAGGATAAGTGCACAAATCATGGGAGAATTCTCTTCACAATTATTTGCTGGGGTATACACCTCCTAATTCATATCTTTTATTTATAATTTTTAAATATCTTTTTATAATTAGTATTGTTCAATTTAATGTGTGATAAATGTAGTATTGTACTGCATGCCATTCTTGATATGTTATATATCTCTTCTCATCATCTTACGTTAATTGTAAGAAAATAAGTTCATTTTTTTTTTAAACACAGTTTTGACAGTCTCCTAGTGTACTCTTGTGTGACTAAATTAAAGACAATAATTGTTGTACAATAAAGCTTTAGAACAGGACGATTTTTGCCCAGAAAACAACAGAAGTTAGTAGATTGTAATGAATTGCTTTGTCATATTATCTTTGTTAATCAAGTTAAAGTAGTTATTTAAAATCAGAAGCATATTTGTTGTCACGCTTAACAAGGAACTTGTAATCACATATTGGTGTTCTATGCCGCATTGATGATACAAATTTGATGTTCTCAGTTACAATATCTATACCATTGAAAAAGTAAGTAAATTTGACCCTCTTTTGATACATTGAATGCTAAAATACCCTTCCAAAATCTGATCTGTAAAGCAAATATTCAAGGAGTACAAAGATTATAAAGCAATCTTCGAATATTATACACTTGGAAAATCAATATATAAAGCAATAATGAGAACTGTTATAAACACACTTGTAAAAGTATTGGTCATTTGTACTTGATATATAAAAGCAATATTCACTGTGTATTAAGATTATACAGCTGGATAAGATATCCAATTTCGCCTTAATTTGCCTTTCTACTTGGTAGTCCATCTAATGACGATTCGCTGCAGGAGTTCATGGTAGGATTAACCTTCAACAATTTTCACAGGAGTTCTGCAGAAAAAAGGTAAAGGTTAAACAGCCTAAAAAAGAAATAGTGAAGATTGTAGTGTTCAAGAGAAGTGGCTTTATGGTTAGAAACCATCACTTACCCAAATGGACTTTGTTTAATCGATAGTAGTTCTACATCCAACTGCAAATTCAAAATGAAAGATAAATGTAAAGATGAAGTGTAGGAGACATCAATGGAAAGGTTGAAGGAATGCAACAGCAGATAAACCACCATTGGGTAGTCTAATGGTAAAAGAGCAAAAGAGTCTAGAAAAATCACCATTGAGTGGTGGTAAAAGAGCAAAGGGGTCTAACGTAGGTTTCTAAGTTCGAGTCCTTTAGGCACTAATAGGGATGATCGTTGAGGGGATTTATCCGACTGTTCAGTTCAGGGCCCCGAAGGATTAGTTGAAATACACCCCTAGGCACTAATAGGGATGACAATTGAGGGGATTTACTCGGATATTCACTTTAAGGCTCAAAAGCATTAGTTGAAGTATGCGCAAACTGATCCAGACACCCTCAATCACAAAAGAGGAAAAAAAAAAAATTGTAACAGCAGACTAACAAATAACTACTTTTACAACATAAGATTATAGTCAGCAACATTGTATTTTCGAAAGAGGAAAAAAATAGTCAAGAAACTCTTAACTTTTGAACATGAAGATGGTGTATTCTAGAAAACAAAGTTCATAATACGATTGGTTTATTTCTTATACTTTGAAAGATCCTTTTGGATAATTTTGAAGCCTAATGTGGTTCATTTCAATCATCTTTGTGAGCCTCGAGACAATATTTTCCAAACTATAATTTAATTGAATTTGCTACCAGCTTCCTGAAAACTTGATATCAGTTCTACAACTAACAGGAACAACTGGTTGAAACAAAATTAACCATAAACCATCGATGTTACAGAGTCGGTCCATCCCAAATTTAATAGTGAATATTTATAACGAGTGAGGTTACACTTACAAAAACTCTATACAAAGTCTTTCATACAAAGTGATGTGTTAAAATATGATTGAATTAATTAATATAAAAATTATCTTAAAAATGCATATTAAATGATAGGCATGATTTTTATATTAATTTATCCAATCATATTTTGACACGTTACTTTATACAAAAGATTTTATACGAAATTTTTATAAGTATAGTATTATTCAATCGATGATGGTAGTAACACTAGTGGAGGAGCCACTGGGTGGCCAAGTGGTTTGACAGAGATACTTTGGTGTATTACTCAAGAGGTCTTGAGTTCGAGTCCCTCCATGTTGCTAATAGGGATAGTCACTAGAGATTTTACTCGGTTGGTAATTCCAAGGTCCTAGAGGATTAGTTGAGGTGGACGTAAGCCAACCCGGACACTCCCGATCATTAAAAAAAAAAAAAAAAAAAAAGATCAAAAGTTTGGAATTACTAGATATTAGGCTTACCATTGGAGAAGTAAAATTAATAATATAGAATGAAATAGGGATGATAAGAGGGAAACGATCAATCGTCCCTTAAGCTGTTTGTTCAATTTATATCTAGGTTTATTTTAATCTACATTAGAGCATTTCCAAATGACTCTTTATATGACTCAAACTCTTTATTATAAAGAGTTTATCCATAAAAACAAGAGTCTAATCGACTCTTTATTATTTAAATATAAATTAAAGAGTGAGTTTAACTCTCCACATTTAGAGAGTCAAATTTCACTCTCTATCATAATTTTAAATAATAAATTGCAAGTTTCTATGCATTTTATTTATGATTTATCTTTCCTATTAAGTTTCTTTCTTGAAAAAAAATATTATCTCTCCTAAAATTTAAAAAGTCTATTGGATTTGAATAAAAATTTTATTCTTTATATTTAAAAATCAATAAAGATACTTTTTATTTATATGAAAGATGCTCTTTTATTAGAGATGCTCTTAGGGCCAACATTACCAGGTATAAATTAGGTTCAATATTCTCCGGCCCCTGAGAGTTCATTCCCTAAGTTTAACACTACTAGCAATAAAGAAAATAGGATAACTTGCAAAAGAGGGTTGTGGAAAAATGAATGCCATCTTCAAGTATGATAAATAAAATTTAGAACTTGGGAATAATAGTATGAGATTTCCATCTAAATTTTCCATAAGAAGAGAAGCACAATAATTAGGTTACCTCTATTGTTGCATTTGGAGGGATTTCCTGGACTCCTTTACTTCCATAAGCTAGCTCAGGAGGAACTATTAGCAGTCGCTGCAAAACATTAGTTGATTAAAATTTTGACCAATTAAATAGCAGAATAAAAACTTCATTGAATTTATATTATCAATATCAAAGTAGAAAGCTAAATGTTCATCAGACTGACAACGTGTCGGGGGTGAGAAGTAAATTGATAATAGGCAATTATGAAAGTAATCTAAATCATAGTGGGGAGATAAATATACTCCAACCTACTTCATCTTTCTCTTAAAGAAAATCAAATATAGAAAAAATTTTAACTTCACTATTGTGAGGGAATTAAAATCTTTACATATATTTCTCGTTAATATGATTAAAGTAGAAGAAAAAAATTGGATGTTGAGACAAATAAAAACTCTGCTGTGATGCTATAGATGGTTTTTAAAAGCCTGAAACTGGTCTCACCTGCCCTCCAACATGCATGCCTTCAACACCAAGATCTAATCCTTTAAGGACATTTCCTCTCTCAGATTGGCCCACATCAAAACCATAAGGCTGCATCAATACAAGCATACCACCATTGTTAAGAGTAATAGAACAATAAGGAAATTAATTTTCTGGCTGTTTCCTATGCAAGAACATGTTGGTTTGAATAATTATGCAGAAGAAACTTATGTCCCCATAAATAAACTCACCTACAATGCCAGTCATGTAAATAGCATACTTTATGTGCAATGTCAATGGTGGGCATCTTAATTATACTTTGGCTATCACAGAGTTGTTCAGAAATAAGGCGAGATACTACAAAATGTTTTTCTAGTTACCTAATTATCAGTGGAGAGTGAGAAGGGCTCCTTACCGTCCCACCACCGACACCAAGTCCTTGTCTACTAGTCATAAAAGTGATATTCTTCCATTTGGCAACATAGTGAACCTGCAACATCAGATAAACATAAAAATAAACACAACTATGTTACCCATTATTTCACAGAACATTACTACAGTCTTCATGATTAATACTCACAACTATGCATTGAGTGCATATTAAATTTGAAATCTTTTTTCTCCTTTTTTTTCTTAGCTTTTACAGGGCGTTCAAAACTAGACCATTGATCTAAGAAACATGGATCATACACCCCCGCGAAAGTATTTCTCTCTCAGATGATATTTAGAACAGAAGAAGTTCATAAAAACTTTTGTCTTTTTGAGATTCTAGACTAGAATTGCACAAACTGTCTTAACACTTTAGACCATTAAGTTAAATTTAACTGCATACCCTATCTTCTCACACTGCGAAAAAAGGAAAACAAAGAATCATTTGAAGTATATTATTATTGAAAGAAATATGTGAATCTGAGATTCTCATATCAGAAAGTTTATATTCCACGTGAATCTCTCATATCAAGAATTTCCTCTATTACACTGGTCCTTAGCAATATCAATAAGTGATTATAAGAATTTCCTCTATTAGTATTCTTTTCAGAGGTCTATGGGTAACCTGAGTAAAACATTACAGCTTTTATTAGTCATAACATATAATTGACATGAGTATTGATATTCCTACTTCCTATGGGTCTTGTTGAAAGCTGTAATGTCATTAAAAATTGAAATATAACTGAGTCACAACCGTACTGCAACCCGGGATCCTTTCTTCGCTTCTGGTCCACCTCCAACCTTCAAGTCATAGTACCTGAAGGATGTTACCATCGCAACTCTAGTAAAAACTTGTATCTAGGAAAAGATATGCTCAAAAAGCAAACATGTTTTCTAGAAATGAAACCAACAAAGGAAATTAGCTGGAAAATTTATCATTCAGCAGAAACATTAAACTAATACACACTCATCATCAGCAATACAATTCTGACAATCTAATATTTGAAACTAAATAAAATACTGACTTCAAACCATTGGGAAGCGTTTTGTATTCGCTCTCAGGAATTTTGGCTCCTCTAAGCTGAATCAACAACAAAACAATAGCAGAATTAAACGACTGTAAAAATAGTTACATTTAGCACCACATAAATCACTTCAAACAGGAAACTTACAGCTCTTCTGCTTGTGCTAACTGCCTCAGCAATGTCACAGACAAAAATTCCAGCAGCTGCTTATAATCAAAGTAAATAAGACATTACACATGTAATTGATTTGAGTTATTAATCACAAGATCGTTTGATAAAATAATTGTAATTGAAGGTAGATAAAATATTATAGAGATATGAAGAGAAAAAAGAACCAGCACTGAGGAGTGAACCAATGAGTGCCCTCCTGGCCTCATGTTGTGAAGAAAGTGTTACTGGTTTTTCAGTTTCATTTGATGAAGACAATGAGCAGTGACTAGGCAGAACCACACTTGAGTTTGTTCTGGATGGTCTCTTCCCTGAAGATTAACAAGTTCTTATAATTAGCATTGTTAAAAAAACTCAAAAACCTTAAATTGCATGCACAGAGAGAATAAAGAGAGAGAGTACTTGAGATGGGAATGGAAATAAGAGGGTTATGAAGGAGAGTAGATGGGTGGTGTTGATAGCATGGGAAGAAGGAGAGTTCCATTGATTTGATTTAGTTATGAGTTGAGGGAATAATTTCAGTTGGGTTTGGCTTTGGTTGTCATAAAGAGAAGATAACATGTTCAATGTCATCCACAAATTAAGCTCTCCAAATCACAAAACATTATGCCATAGGATGTCATTCAAGATTATTCATATTAATTTCCCTGAAATATAATTCTCCAGATTTTGCTAAATTAATAACTTAAATTCATGTTTCTGTTTCCTATCAAAATTGGATTTAATTTTCTTCACTTCCTCCTTTGAAGAAATTTTGGTCTTTTTGAACAGGCATGACCATTTGCCACATTTAAAAAAAGGCTCACGATGCCCTTCCCATGATCTCCAATTTCTCCACATCTTTCAAATTTTAATTCCATAATTTCTTCTTTTAATCTTGTTTTTGCTGTTGTTGAGAATGATTACTCATTAAAAATTGTCCATGACCATGTATTAGTCCATTTTAAAAGGAAGTTCATTTTTTTCTTATTTGAATTGTATTATTTAGAATGTAAATTTTTTTTTTTTTTAAATGTATTATAAGCTTTACATAGGAAATTCATTTTTCGCTTACGTAAACGTAATTGTATTCAATAATATTATTCTTCTTAATACTTATCCCAAATTTTATACCTCAAATACTTATTCTAAATATTATATCTCAAATGATGTGTCATCATATGTGGTTAAAATGATGATATATTAATGACATGATAATGTCATATGATGATACATCATTTAAATCGTAAAATTTGGGATAAGTAGTATTACTCAATTGTATTACTTTAAAATTTGGATACACTGTCAGATACCAAATATTTTACTAACTCATTCCAATAAAATAATTTTGACAACAATTTCACTACAGTGTATAATATATATAAAATAATTTTGTCATTGCATTAATTGGATTCCACCAAGAAGGCCCATGTTAGCTAGAATATATGCTCTCATTTCCTTCTCTATAAATGTGAGAGTGATGAAAAGAGAATTTACTAATACAATGCAGATAGTTCAACCATTTGTTATGCAAATGCCAAGGAGGAAGAAAGGAAGCCGAAGTAAGACAAATAAGGGAGGTTATAGAATTATTCTCTAACCAAAGAAACCTCCAACCCTTTGAATAAGCTATCTCTGCAAGGCATGTTTGAACAATAAATTTTCTATCTTGGAATCAATTTCTCTCTATTATTTTAATCTTCTAGGGAATACAAACTTTTTCAGACATTCTTTCAAATAACATTCTCTCTCTTTCTCTCTCTCCTTTTCTTAGTTGAATAAACACAAATAAAGATCAAACTGAGAAATTAATCAATTATAAATTTAAAGGACTAATAGTGCTACCCTAAAAGGACTAAATTGTAAAGTGGATAGCTTAAGATTAAAATGAAATTGCTTAGTCGAACTGGACTAAACCAATATTAGAAAAACTATAGTGGACGATACAAAATTGAATTGTGCTGGACCAAACTAAAATATCTACAAAGACTAAAAGGAACAAATTTTATATCTTCTAAGGTGAACAATATGTAGTAGTATACGTACAAAGTTTTGTATAAAGTCAAGTATACAAAATGAAGTAGCATTACTCATTAATTGACATATCATTCATCCTTTTTTAATGAATTTGTTGAGATTTCAGCAATATTTCCTGAATATTTCATGATCTTCTTATTTTGCCAGTTTTTAGGATCCTCATAATGTATTTGCCATCCTGTAATCTCCTAATTATGTCTATATATTATAATTGACATAATTAGGAGATTCCTTAGATTGTGTTATGCCTAAAAAATAAGGGCTGACGTAAGCTCACAACCGCAAGGGCCAATCAGAGTTCAAGAAGGAATTGTGTCATCCAGACGCTACCATGTTGCACAAGGATAGAAGAAGTAAGGTTGTCGTCAGCATAGCAGGTGAAAGCTTGGCTTGTGAGTGGCTAGGAATTGTGCACCTGCCCAAGCCCTAGGTGATTTAAGGATATCTCCTGTACAGTCAACAATGGGAAGCAAGTTAGGAATTGTACCACACCTACCCCACTGCAAAATCATGATTATTACCTTGAATCTCTCGAGTATAAATAGAGGGCTCCTTTCTCATTTACAGGATCCAGGCATTTTTAATCTTCTAAGAGCAGACTCTTTCTCTCTCTCTCTCTCTGTATTTGAATTCTCTCTAGATTGTGACTCAGCTCGCTGCCCACGACCTGACTATAATCATCCATCAATACAAATATAATGGACGTAGGATTCGCTTTTTAGCATCCGAACCACTTTGAAGATTGTCTCTTGTTTATTCTTTCGTTGCACATTTCCATATCGCCTATAATTTCTAAGTCTGCTTAGCACTTTACACGTGTGAGTCATTGGTGTCAAAATCAAGCATCAACAGTTTAGCGCTAGAAGGAGGGCCTGATTTAGTATCTGCTCTTCATCAGGAATCTCTGACTGATCAGTCATATCCATCAGCAAATGGCTTATGGTTTTGAAACTGAACGAACTAGTCTTAACAATGAGGAGATCCCCTGGGTACAAGATGACACTTCTCCCGAAGTGCCCCAGTCCAGTGGAGTACCATGGCAGATATTCCTTCGAGCTCACAACTCGACCCAACCGTGATGGATTACTTGGAGAGGTTCAACAATACTCTCCAAACGGTTAGCTGACGGTTAGACCATTTGGATCGAGTCGTACCACTAGAGTCTGACGAGGTAGTGCCACCGCCAAAGATGCTTACAGGTCGCGCGAAAGTGTAAAAACGGGTGAAAGCCCGTACTGTGCTCACTACAGCGTGTAAAAGTAAGGGAAAACAAGTGGCGGACAGTGGGCCAAAAGGCTCCAAGGGACTAGCGAACACCAGTCGTGCAACGGGTATAATACCCATGGCATTGCGACTTGGTGACATGTCGCAACATTAGCCATCCCACGCCACGTCACATGGGCACTCCCACAAGAGTGCAAGACAGGGAGATTCCCAGTATCACCAAAACGATGATCTCGATCGTCATCATGCGGGAAACCCCTATCATCCGTGGGTCGGTTCTGACCACCACAAAGGTCGGGAAAACTCTCCGAGCCATTTGTTGCCTTCACACGACTCTAGCCAGCATGTGTCAAGGTTTGCCGGAGCTTCCGACCGAGTTGAGGAAGAGCACGATTTGCGATCTTTCCTCAACTGCAACCGTGAGGGTCGAACACGTTGCGAAAAGTGATCCTCATGTAGCTCCACTACCTTAGATTGAGGAATTGCAGCAAGCTTTGGATCAGCTTAAAGCTTAGCAGAATAAGTGTGGGAGGCCACCGAGGCGTCTTCTTTTTCTCTAGCAATGTTAGCTGCTCCTCTTTCGTCGAGATTAAGAATGCCCGATATACGAGAGTTTGATGGGAATTATGATTTGCAGGATCACCTTTATGAATTCAACGACCTCATGGAACTTCACCAAGTCTCTAACTTGGCCAAATGTCATTGCTTGATAGCAACTCTAACTGCCCATGCCAAGCGTTGGTTGAGATCGCTTCTTGTAGGATCTATCAGCTCGTGGCAACAAATGAGTTCGTCATTCTTAAGGCACTTCCAAGCGAACAGGAAGTCCTGAATGCCGTTGAGCTATCTAAGCAACATACGACAGGAGAGGAATGAATCCCTTCAGTCTTAATAGACAGATTCCATAGGGAACTCCACAAAGTGGCTCATACTCTCGAAGAGTCTGTTCAGACTCTTATTATTGTGGGGGTTCGCCCACAGATTGACTTGTGGAAAGAATTACAATCTGAGGACGATGTTTCCCTCACCCGCTTCTACGATCTTATTGAGAATTATCTCCGAATCAAAAATTATGTGGCCGCTCTTAATCACCACGACCCTAGTCCCTCGACCAATGCTCCCGACTAGTGGGAGAACAATAGAAGGGTTGATCGCAGATCGACTAATGACGATTAGTGAAAAGAAAAGAAGCAACGATTTGAGCCTAAAAAATCTTATGCCCAAGTTCCCCGTCACGATCGCTACAAAAGTCAATACATTCCTTTGAATGCCTCAGTGTCGGCTATTCTAGATAAGTCAGAGGAGGCCAGCTTGCTCGGAGAGCCAGAGCCAATGAAGAATCCCTCATCAGCCAGGAATAGCAAAAAGTATTGTCGCTATCATCGGGATAATGGGTATCATACCAATGAGTGTCGGGCTCTCAAGCAAGCAATTGAAGACCTCATCAAGCAGGGGCACTTCAAGGAGTATGTTGATAGTCCAACTCCCATTCGGGGAAAGGATCAAGAGGACCAAGGGAAGAAGTATGGTCGTAATGGTCTTTACTATGTGGGGATCATCTTTGGAGGACCACACCTCGCGGGGAATTCTTGAGGTGCCTAGGAAAGGTACGCTCAGGAAGCTCGTCATGACCTCATGGGTGTGATGAGCACGATGTCGCGACCCGCTAAGGTTCGCAAGGAAGAAGAGATTGCTTTCTTAGAGAAAGACACGATGTGATTGCATCATCCCTATGAGGATGCACTCTTCATCGCGCTTGAAATAGGTTGATACGAAGTCTACAAAATGTTGGTGGACAATGGAAGTGCTGTGAACATCTTGTTTCAGCAAGCTTTCGAAAAAATGCAATTAGACAAGGTAGACCTGAAGCCTGCCTTTGTCACTCTCTACGGTTTTACTGGGGATCATCTGATTCCTAGGGGAACGATCGCACTTCGTGTCACTTTGGGTGCGACCAAAGAAGTAACCAAGATGACGGAGTTCTTGGTAGTAAACTATCTGTCCCCTTATAATGGCATTCTGGGATGGCCTCTACTGCAAAGTTTCAAGGCCATCACCTCCATCTATCATCTAAAAATGAAGTTCCCCACTCCGACGGGGATTGGGGAAGTAAAAGGATCTCAACGCGAATCTCGCGACTACTACGTAAGAGCAGTGCAAATGGCTAGTAAGGGAAAAGGAAGGCCAATAGGCATCCCCAAGCAGGCTATGGCAATCAGTAAGATCGAGCCATAGCCCAACCCAATAGAAGACAACATGGATCCTCGCATCTAGGAGTGCCCTCATAGTGGGCTAGTTAAGGATCTATCTGAGATATCAGTCGATCAA